TGATGGCTAATAACAGGATTGATGTGTGACTTTTCTTCATACTTTCAGCGGTAAGCCTGCAGATTCAGGCTGGAAGCTAAGGGACTGTACTGATTCCAGTTGCACCTTGCCACCTTAACCTCAAAAGTGTTTTGCTGAATCAGACCAAGGTCTACATGATCCAGGATTCTTTCCCAGCATCCAGGCAACCAGCAGGCAGCCAATGTTTCACTGGAAGCCTGCTTGTGGCCCACAAGCTGTCTCCACATTTGCTCGCTATGATTTGTTTGTTTTGGGTTTTGATTACACATAAAGTCTCAAATTCTAAGCAGTGCCAGTTGAAACAGCGTTATTTTTATTTGATGGTTTAGTACTTGTTTGATATGTTATCTATGAACATTTATTATAATCTTTAGTTTTATATTTTAACCTGTCTAAAAGTTATGGATGCAGATTTGAAAAGATGTAATATCCAAGCAAACAAATCTAGGAGTTATGATGGAGCTCAATGAAACATCGACCCAGTGAACAGCAGCTGTGAAAAAAGCATACTGTGTGAAGGATCATTAGGAAAGTTGTCAACATTATGATGTCTTAATACAAATATATGGTGCAGCCGCACTTTGAATGCCATGCACAATTCTCATCATTTCATTCTTGCATTTCAAAGGGAATTCTATAGACCTGGAAAATGCAAAAAAGGACAACTCCTCTCCTGTTGAAATAATTGCTTCATTATTTGGGTTCAGCTGTATTATGCGAGTTGATTATAGATTATACATCTCCAAAATAGTTCTAGGAGTAATATTTTATTACACATTCAATAAAGTAGTTCAGACCTCTGTAGTTCATACTGACTGCATGAAATTTAAATGACATCTTGCAATTGACATGAAGGTAAAACTTAATTGGTTATCTGACCAAAAATGAATTATTTGAGTATTTCCTGCAATTTTTTTTTTTTTTAGAATCACACAAAAACATTGAATGGTGGGTTCCTTTGATTCTTAAACATTTTGATGCTATCAGCTTTTTCTTTTTGTGTGTGGTGGAGAGTTACTGCTTTTATTATTATATATTTTTACAAGAAGGGCCATAGAGCACTACCTAGAAATTACAAACTCATTATTTTACAAATGTCATTGCTTAACTGTAGGCTAAATATTTGCTTCTTAAAATAGAAGTTTGGGTGCGCAAAAGTAATATTACCCCAGATGAGCAAGCAAGTTTTAGAGCCAAGGTTTTAGGTAGCATGTTCATCTTGGCACATCTAACTAATAATAAATATTGCAAGAAAAGCACAAATATTATGTATACCACCATTGTAGATCTGAAACGTTTTCTCTACTCGGGTAGAATGTTTTATTTAGAAATGTAAGGAAATGAAGGGAACATTTGTTCATATGTAGTGGACATGTAAAAAGGGAAAATAATATTGGGAAATGATTTATAATGAGTTAAAAAAATGTTTAAAATAACTTTCCCCAAAAACTGGAGTCATTTTTGTTTGGAATAATTCAAACGCAAGTCCCTAAGTTTCAACAAAATTTATTTATGTATGCAACAATTGTTAGACCAAAAATGGAAAGTGAGGGAGGTCCCAAGTGAAGAGGACGGGCAACTTAAGATGGTAGAATATGCAGAGCTTGCAGGTTTAACATGTAGGGTAAGAGAGCAAGGAGAACATATATTCAAAGAAAAGTGGAAAACATCTGTTGAGTATATGGAAAATAACTGTACACAACTGAAAATGCTGGTAGCATTAAGATAAAGTCAACTGTGTAATTATTGTTTGAGTGATGTAAAAGTGAACTGACTGAAATGGTTACAGCAAAATATGCAGGAATGAAAGATAAATAAAATGAACCAAGGAAAGATGGAAGTCATGGGATATCTAACAGTATGTAAAATGTTGACTTTAAGAGGTAAAACTGCAGATTTAATAAAAATTATTACTTAAAAAAGACTTTTAATTAACATTGGAGAGGACCTTTGTTGACTTGGACTTTGTTGTGACATTATAGAAAGATCTTGGCCATGGGAAAAGGGCTATGTTGGGTTATATAGCATTATATTAAGTGTTCTGTTTTAATTCCAGTTCAGCTCATTATGAAAAGCAAGGCCTCAGCACTAAAGGCCTGTAATGTTGAAGCAACCTGTACCTGCATATCTCCAGTAATGTTGCAGCATCTGTTGTTTTTAACACCATTTAAGGGGCCCATAAAATGCATTGGTTTCTGAAGCTATGTTGCTTCTAGTTTGTTACTGCAATGAGTGGTAGTTTTTGGAAATTACATTGCTTTATGCTTCTTTCAATGTCTCAAAAAGACACATATTTAAGTTTGGTACATGATTAAATTTTTTAAAAATAATCAGTTAAAAGGGCAAGTAATCAATTAAAAGATCTGTCAGCTTTGTGATACAATTTAATTTCCTATTATTAAATACATGAATCAATTATCTCATGCAGGTGATAGTTTCAGGCTACTAACAGTTTATATAGATGGTGTGCATAAATGATCTACAGCAATGCCATCAGTGGTACTTAATGTTCCATTCATGAATGAACTGCTGTTTATGAACGAACTGTTAAATGATACTTGACAATGAACGTTCTTGTGCTGGAGTTCTGACTCAAAATGCATTTTCATGGAAATAAAGCCCACTGATTTCAAAATCCCTCTTCATATACTCTAAACTTGCATAGGCGACGCTTGCTGGGTACTGAGATACCAGAACCATGTAGGGTCAGGCTGATTGGGTGGGAAAGACATACAAAATCATTGGTTCAATAGTAGAGAATTTGGCAAATGAGTGGGAAACTCTCATATAATTGACCCCAGTAAGTTGCAGTGGGTGTGGTTTCACTGTAATGGCCTCATGGGCCAAATGGGGAAGCCTGATTAGGCCCACAGGCTGGAGGCCTTATTGATGGTGCAAATTTTCTCCTGTTCCAAACCTGGTACATGGATTTTTTTTCTCCCACTGACTTTAATGGGAGATATATTTTTTCAAAAAAATTGATATAGTAAAATAGTTAAACATAAATAAATATGCTTTTGAGAAGTGTAAGGGGGTTTGTACCCCTGCCTGCAGGGGTGCACTGAGATTTGCAGCAGTGCATTTGTTGCTGGCTGTGCAACTGAGACTGACAGATTGGCAGCACAGAGGTCTTGCATTGCATATTGTGTGCAAAGGTATGTGCTGGTGACATATCCCTGTCACTATGAATTCACTGTCTCCCTTCATGTATGAGTGGAAATGTGGGTATCATCACCAGCAGTCACTGATTGTTGGGCACTACTGTAATGTCTCTGCCAATTTAATTGTATGTGTTTTCCCCTCCTGGGCTGTGCGCACAATGGCGATGGCAGCTTGTATTCCAGTGTGGTGTCGTGGTTAATATTGTTGGACTAGGACCTGGGAAGCCAAGGTTCTAATCCCCACTCAGCCACGAAGCTCCCTGGGTGACCTTGGGCCAGTCCCTGCCTCTCAGCCTAACCTATCTTGCAGGGTTGTTGTTGTGAGGATAAAATGGGGAGCAATGGAAAACATGTAAGTCACTATGAGCTCCCTGGGGGAAAGGTGGGATACAATGAATTAAATGAAATATCCACTGTGCCAGGGTTAGGCAGAGCAGCAGCAACAGCCCTGCTACTACTGTAACATTATGCTGGCTTAATTTACCCTGGCCAGCTTCTTCTGCATAGGACTATGTTCCCTTAGGCTTTGTTCAAAACCTTACATTTTGCAAGCTCCACTGAATTCAACAGGACTTAGTTTTGAGTAGATATGGTTGGAATTGCACTGATAATCTAGGTTTTGGTTGCAATTTACTGTGGTCCCTCAAAACTGCTTTGCTAGAGTAGATTCTCCAGGGTTAGCACTCTAGGATTCAGCTCCTTTAGACGCTATTTACTTAACTAGAGAAGACTCCCTGGAAAAGACACTGATGCTGGGAAAGATGGAGGGCACAAGGAGAAGGGGACGACAGAGGACGAGATGGCTGGATAGTGTTTTCGAGGTTACCAGCACGAGTTTGACCAAACTGCGGGAGGTAGTGGAGGACAGAGGTGCCTGGCGTGCTCTGGTCCAGGGGGTCACGAAGAGTCAGACACGACTAAATGACTAAACAACAACAACTTAACTAGAACTTAGCTCCTGAAACATAAGGCCTTTGCTGTGTGGATGATGGATGGTACGAATACATGCTTTGATTATAACTGTTTCTGAATTGTTTCTTTAGCCATCCATCAAATATCATTTTTTGAAACTATTAGAATCGGAAACAAAAAAGCCAAAGATCCCCTCCATCCCCACTGAATCCTTTCCTCCCAGCAGTCACGGACTGTGGCCTCATTGCCTCCCATACCTTTATGGCTGAGTCCTTCCACTTTCTTGGTGCAGTGATGGAAAAAGCGGACTAAGGAGTCTGAGAGGGAGCGGGTCAAGCAGCCTGGAGGAAGGGTGTTCGGCACCCAATTTCAGCCTTTTTGACCTTGTTATATTATCAGCACATTCACACTGCAGGACCACAAGCCACTTTTCCCTCTCTTTGTAAGAACGGTGGGGTACACAGTGCAGGACTAAATTTATTCATGGAGTTATATTATTATTATTATTAGTAGTATTATTATTATCATTTCTATACTGCCCTTCCCCCGAGGATCACGGGCAGTTTACAGTATTAAACCAGAACAATACATCACCTGAAAACAAAATAAACAATAACACGCCCCTCCCCCCCCTTCAGCCAAAGGCTAATTGAGTGTCCGGTGAGGCCCCTTTCCGAGGCCGAGCCCTTTCCCTTCCGCGGAATCCCGGGCTGCGCTGCCTGGCTCCCCCCAGCGCCTCCCCGACACCAGAGCCTCGGTCCCGAAGGGCGCGCTGGGGGAAGACCCGGCCCGCTCGCCGGAAAGGCCCGCCTCCCGACCCGGAAGCGGAAGCAGCGGCGGAAGCGCGGAGCTGGGGGCGCCGGAGACTCCCCGACTTCCGGCAGCGTGAGAGTCGGCGAAGCGGCGCTCCGGGAGGGGCGGGCGGAGGGGGGAGGGGGCCTGCCGTTCTTCCTTTTCCCTCCCCCGGCTTCGTGTGCCTTCCCTCGGGTGCCTCTGCGCCTGCGCGGCGGGGCCTGAGGCGGGCGGGGCCGGGGCCTCCCCGCGTGGCCCTTTCTCCGCGGGGGGCGGAGAGGAGGAGGAGGAGGCGCCATGGCCGAGAGAGGCGGCTCGGCGCTCCCGGAGGCCGGCTGGTGAGTGGGGCGGCGGCGGCGGCGGGGGGAGGGAGGAGGGCAGCCCCCCCAGCGACTTCTCGCCCCTCTTGGCGGCTCCCCTGCCTGGCGCGGCCTTTCCCCGCAGGCCTCCCGAGCGGGTCCCTCTTTCTCACCGCTGTTTGTTTATTCATTCAGTTATCCCTCGAAGGCGCCCGTGTGTCGGGGGGAGGCCGAGAGACAGGCTGCTTGGTGGCGAAGGAAACTTCCCCGAGGAGGGTGCCCGGCGGGGTTGGCGAGGAAACGCGGGGTTTCTGCCTCTCGGGCTTTGACAGCGGGGCGGGGGGGTTGCAAGGGCAGCACCGCTTTGCCCCTTGGGCTGCTTTTCGGAAGTTTGCAGAACTTGGCTTAGGGTTGCCTTGTCGTCAGCTCACCGTCCAAAAATATTCTTATCAGCCCTTTGTCGCCTCCTGTATTGAATTTCCTATACTTTATTTTAGCATACCTTACAACTGTGTATGGCAGATCAGTAATGCAATCTCCTATACTATAGATGATGTGACTAAGAAAAGAGATTTGCTTAAGTTCACCTGATGAGTCAAAGTTTGAAGTTTGAGGCATTTCTATCATGTCAGTCTTTTAACTGCTGTCCCAGCTTTTGAACCTAGGTTTCTGTTACTCCTCACGCAGTACACTCTTTCACCTAAAGATAGGTTGTCAGCTTGTGAAGATTAGGCCAGGAATGATTAAACTAGCTGCTGTGCAATTGGAAATCAAGGTGGCACGATTTAAAGGTTTTTGCAGTTGTGCTTGCATTTTTTTTTTAGTCCTTTCTGTGGAAATCTGTCCTCGCCCTTTACTTTTCATCAGATATGAGCTGAGGTTAGCTTGACAGTTAAGAGATTAATGAAAGTACACTTGAAGAACCTTGCAAGGTATATTTCATTTGTTGTTGTTCAGTGCTATAACTAATAATTACATTGCTTGCAGTATATGTACTGTTGAAACAAACCATTTTCTACTTTAGCAGCTTTGGTAGAGAAAGCTGAATAATGTAAAATGCTGAATACTAAAGTATTCTAGCAAAGCTAATATTTTAAAGTAGTACTTGGGCCTAACCACGAGGTTGACGGCTTTGGTTGACAAGTTCACAACAGTATGAAAACATATTTGGTCACTGATGTGAAGCAATGTTGCTAATTATTTGGAGTGAGGGAGGTGATAGGCAAACTCTTTACCCACTCACTTCCAGCCCGCCAGGAGTTCAGGGACAAGTAGAATAGACAAAGAAAAAGTGATCATACTAGAGTGAAAATTTAGAAATTCTTTGTATTGCTTTTAAGTTTACCTTCAGTACTTCTTCATTAGATATATACTCTAAAATAATTTTTTAAGCTGCAGTGAAAGCATGATGTACCTGGCAGGCATGTGGCCAGCAACATGTTTATTTAACTTGTACTGATGCACAAAACATATTCCCTGTTAATTTTATGTATTGTATAACTATACCAATTTCCCCCCAGTAGCCAAATGTGTAAAATAATATAACTTAAGCATTTAAAGCTTTGTTTGAAAATTTATTTTTTATTGGAGAAGACCCCTTACATTGGTTGACTTTTGATAGAGAATCAGGGGCTGATAGACACTTTTGAACTGAGTTGCAGCCAAAATCATGTTCAATGAAGTTCAGCTAGCATTGGGCGAAGAGGATTGAGAGGCAGACTTCACCAGGTCTTCCCGCTTCAAGATTTGGAGGTTTGAGAGAACATCTGACACGAGTGGCTGCATGGGGGATGAAGGAGTCATTTTAAAAAGCCTCCCTTTCCCTCTTCCACCAGTGGGAAGCTTTTGCTGGACCCCAGTGCATTCCAGGAGTGGAAGGAGCCCTTCCATTCACAACAATCTGGCTCCCACCCACTAACTCTAGCATTGAGCTGTGCATTAGCATCCTAGATGGAAGGCACCTGAAGGATAATCTAGTCCAGCCCCCAGAAATGCAGGAATCTCAGGTGGCCCGTATGAGGATCGAACCCATAACCTTGGCATTATCAGCACCACTCTTTAACCAACTGAGCTAACTGGCATTGGGAACTCTATATATATTTTGAATAAATGCTGTTTACTTTTCCTATCAACAATTTTGGTCAGCAGGTGCAGAGAGAGCAGACTTCCACCCATTAGCCCAGCCCTGTCCTCATGTTTTATGTGTTAGGCAGAAGGTGAAGATAGGTTTTGTGCATACAGTATAGCTATACTCAGGTAATTTGGAGTCCCTGTGCAGACCAGGGTTCTTGATCACATACTCAAAATGAGGAAAGCCTATTCTGACTTTTTATTAAACATACAGATATGAGGGACCAACAAGTACAGTCTAGGTGCCCACCATGTATTGATAGAACATATGGATAGACCATGAAAACTTGAAAAGAGGGCTATAGTTATCTGAAAAAAGTTACGTTACAATTGATATTTACTTGCATTATGTACATTCATGCATTATGTTACTAATTCAGTACTTCTTTTAATGCTGTGTGTGTGTGTGTGTGTGTGTGTGTTGGTGCCCATCTTCAGAGAGAATAGAGTGTTCCTCCAGGGGTGAACTCAAACTGCTGTGTTAGCAGCACCAAAGTCACCTCCCTGTCGCGCAAGCCTGGGCTGTGTGTGTGGAGGTCCTGGACTGTCCAGATGACAAGATCCATCTCTTGGCTTCACTGATGCCGTCCATAGGAAAGCACAGCAATATGTTTGGCACCAGCTGCAAGAGTTGCCAGAAACAGGCATACAAGGTGCCATCCAACTGTCTTGGGGATTCCACTCTGGATTTGTGTAGTTTTTACTCCTTAGCCTTTTCTTCTCCCAAAGATAACCCACAAGACGGTAGAACACCATTACTGGCCCCAACAACATCAAACATACCATCTCAGGACTATTTAATTGCTCATCTTCTAACATTGTGTATACCATCAAATGCCAACAGTGCCCTTCAGCTCTCTATATTGTACAAACAGGCCAAACCCTACGCCAAAGGATAAATGGACATAAATCTGATATCAGGAATCACAAGACAGAGAAACCAGTAGGAGAACACTTCAGTCTCCCAGGACATTCTATACAAGATCTCAAAGTAGCTGTCTTATTACAAAAGAATTTCAGAAATAGACAGGAAAGAGAAGTTGCTGAATTGTACCTTATTACCAAACTTAAAACCATGGAGAGACCTGGTCTGAATAGAGACATTGGATTCTTATCTCATTATACATGATAAAGCTATTTTTAGCCATCTCACCCCTTGCTTTTTCCTGTAGGACCAATTGCAGTCATTAACAGTTGTCAACAGGTTTACCACATCTATTAGCCAATCACCCATTCCCACCACCCTTCTGAGTAATACCCCTCCCCACCCTCTCACTATATATAAGGGTCTGATGACTTCTGTTTCAGTGTATCTGAAGAAGTGTGCATGCACACAAAAGCTCATACCAATAACTAACTTAGTTGGTCTCTAAGGAGCTACCAGAAGGAATTTTATTTTATTTATGATGTTTTAATGTATTTTTAATCTTTTGTTGGAAGCCGCCCAGAGTGGCTGGGGAAACCCAGCCAGATGGATGGGGTATAAATAAATTATTATTATTATTATTTGCTTATTGCTTGCTGAGATTGTTTACAGTCATGGGAAAAAGAAAGTGCAGCCTCTTTGAATTCTGTGGTTTTACATATGAAGACATAATAACAACCAATTGTTCCTTAGCATGTCTTAAAATTAGGTAAATACCAGTATGTATACTCAGTGTGTTGTAGCTGTGAAAGGCAAATCTCATGCTGGGGATTTTTAGGAAAGGAATTGAAAATAAAACCGCCCGTTTCCTAACCCCATTATACACACCTATGGTGTGGCTTCATTTGGAATACTGCATACAGTTGTGGTCACCTCCCCTCAAAAAGAATATTGTATAACCGGTTCAGAAAAGGGCAACCAAAATAATCATGGGGATGGAGCGACTCCTCTATGAGGAAAGGTTGCAGTGTTCAGAACTTTTAGTTTAGAGAAAGGGGGAATAAGAGGTATCATGATAGAAGTTTATAAAATTATGTCTGGCATGGAGAAAGTGGCTGGAGAATTTTTTCTCTCATAATGTTAGAACTTTTGGACATTCAATGAAGCTGAACATTGGAAGATTCAGGAAAGTCATTCTTCATGCAACACATAATCCAGTGGTTTTCAACCTTTTTGAGCCCATGGCTCCCTTGACCGACTGCAATCTTTGTGCGGCACCCCTGTGGGGCTCAGGAGCCCAGTTATGTCAACCCTTGCCTGTAGCTCCTCACCCTTTTTCAAACACCCTCCCTTGTGGAGTGTTTCCCCAGCCTCCTCTCCCCTCTTTTTGGGAGTCCTCCAGGCAGCCGCTGCCACCACCCCTGGTCTCTGAGCCACCTGCCCAAAAGAGGTGCCTCATACTACCCTACAGGGGCCTCGGAAGAGGATGTCCCCAGCCTTAGCAGCCCAACAGAGACTAGCTGAAAGTGAACGTGAGGCCATCACCTTACTCACCTTGAGTGGCAGCAGCAGGCGCCGCTGGGCCTGCATGGCAGAAAAGCACCCCTTCAGTGCTGGGTACTCAGCTCCCAGACAGGCACTGCACGCAGCAAGCACAAGAAAGGCCAGCACTGCGCCTGCTTGCCCAGCCTCCCACTTGTCTGTCCATTCCCAACAGCAAGGGCTGGCAGACTGGGCTCCCTCATCCACTTGCTTGCTTCCTCTGAGGCTGCCTCAGCTCCTGGCAACCAGCACCCTCTGGCCAGCCCCAGAGCCAGGGCTGCTGCAACAAACAGCCATGCAAGCCTTTGGGAGGCAGAGATGCAGTAGGGCATCAGAGGAGGGAGGGAAGGAAGGAAAGAGAGATGGAGGCCAGTGTTGCCCACGGCACACCTGACCAGCATTCAAGGCACCCCAGGGTGCCATGGAACACTGGTTGATAACCAATGCCCTATTCTATTTAACATCTACATGAAACTCTTTAATAAAATAATTATTAGAAAAA